GTTTCTCTTGAGATAAACTTGAGTCTTAAGATGAGTCACCTGTCAGCTCCAAAGCTGGCCTCCAGTGTCTGAGACACCAGAGGGACACTCACCATCAATTCTGTCCACCATGACTGTATGGCAAATGGAAAGCAAGAAGAAGAACTGCCGAACTTCTGGCTCTTTTCCTGACTGGATTTGCTCAATAAGATAATGGTCATAAAATGCAAACTTTCCATCAGCAAATGTATTCCAGCTAAAATCCACCATCTGAAAGAAATGGAGGGAGAAAGAAATGAAATTAATGAAAAATGTATGTATTAGGGCCAGCAAGATCACTCATGGGGTAAACGTACTTGCTACCAAGCCTGACAGCCTGAGTTTGATACTGATACTTGGGATGCACAGAGTAGGAGAGAATCCATTTCTGCAAGTTGCTCTCTAAGCTCCACGCATGCACTGTGGCAGCACATGTGCACATGCATACACACAAAAATGTCTTAAAAATCTGTATCCATAACTGATATTACCTTTTCTTTGTAGCAAAGTTTTTAATTATGTCAAAAATCACCTGGGAATTTAGCACATTCCTTTTTATTTTCTGAGTCTAAGTGTTTTGCCTACATGTGTGTATGTGAACCATGTGCATGCCTGGTGTCCATAAAGGCCAGAAGAGGGTGTGAGGGCATCTGATCCTTTGGAACTGGAGTTACTCATAGTTGTGAGCTGCTATGTGGGTGCTGGAAATATATCTGGGTCCTCTGAAAAGAGCATCAATTGTTCTTACCTGATAACCCATCCACTTTCTTGTCCTAAGTCATAGGAAGCTTTTGCTAAAAACCAAAAGTTACACTATAGTGAGCTGAATTGTGTCTCTCTCACAGGTCTGTTGGCACCCAAACCTTCGGTGCCTGTCAATTTCTCTATTTGGAAATGTGGTCTGCAAATGTAATCAAGGTAAGATTTGGTCATGTGGATTAGGATAGAAGGACAGATGTTCTTGTAAGAGACAAATGTGGACAGAGACAAACACATGAGGAAAAAGAACCCCATGTGACCAGAGAAGCAAAGCCTGTAGCCTGGTACCTACAAGCCAGGATCACTGGAACTACCAGAGGCATGGGAGAAGCCAGGAAGCTTCTCCCTAGACCTTTTGGAGGGACCAACATCTGGATTCCATTCTCCAGTACTGTGGGAAGATAAGTTCTGCTACTTTATGGCCCAGCCTGAGGTCATTCAATCCAGCATCCCAAGGAAGCAAATACACAGCAAACAGTTGCTTTGCATGGACCACTCACCTCTATTTTGCTATGGCTGTGTTGAGAAGCATCCCGATGGTCTCCTAAGAAACAAATAGGGCAAAACAAGTTGAGTTTTCTCTCTCTCTCTCTCTCTCTCTCTCTCTCTCTCTCTCTCTCTCTCTCTCTCTCTCTCTCTCTGTGTGTGTGTGTGTGTGTATACAGAGTCCCTCCTACCTGGATTTGCAAACACAGTTGTGGTGTCTGATGTTACTGTCATCCTTGGTTTGGAATGGTTCTGGAGTAAAGAATTTTTTTTTCAGGAGTTGTAAAAAAATGAAAAATAGACAACTATTACACCCAGCCCTGATGGCTTGTGCCTATAACCCAAATACTTGGTAGACTAAAATAGGAAAATCACCATGAATTAAAGCTATAGGGGTTAAAGCTACTGGGCTATAGGGTGAAATTTGGTCTCAAAACCAAACAACTAAATATATAAATATATTCTAAGAATGAATAATATTTGGTAGAAACCATTATGTAGCCTGCAAAGGTTAAAATATTTACTATCTGGCTCTTCACAGGAAAAGTTGGTCAAATACTGACCAGAGTTGTTTCAAATATTGGTACCTGTTCCACTATACTCCTTTGGGACTACAAAGGTATCCTTTGATACAATTTAGTCTGCATCACCATGGTGACAAATTTCTCAACCCCATAGTGTGTCATCTTCCTCGATGGTGGGTAAACTCATACACTTTATAGATATTTTTCTAAAGGGGGAAAATGTGCATGTGTTTATTTCTTGAAAAAAAATCAAAAGTTAAAACAAACCAATATTTTAAGGCAACATTAACTTCAATACTATTCATGTGTGTGGAGAATGTTTCAGAAAAGTAGGACAGAGGTCAACTATAAACCACTGTAATCATTTTTTACTGTACAGCTTGGTGACAAGGTGCAGTTACCTTGTGCAGCTATCACCACTATCTCCCTTTAGCATCTTTATCTTGATAACTGAACTTGCTAGCATTGCACTAACTCCCAAGCTTTGGCAGCCAATACTCCCCTTTGTCCCTGTGACTTTGACTATTCTAAATACAATCATACAGCACTTGCTTTTGTGAGTTTCCATCACTTAGGAAAATGTCTTAAGGGCTCATTCATGTTGTAGCACATTTTATTTGTTTCTTCATCCATTGATAGACAAATGGGCTATTCCTACCCTTTGCCAAATGTGAATAAAGTTACTATGAACATGAATAAACATCTATCTCTGTGGGTATCTCCTTTCCAAATCTTTTGAGGAAAATATATTCCTAGACACAGAATTGCTAGACCATGGGGCAATTCAGCTTTCAATTTTTTGAAGGGTATTTATTTCTAACTATTTCTCTCTCTCTCTCTCTCTCTCTCTCTCTCTCTCTCTCTCTCTCTCTCTCTCTCTCTCTC